TCTCACCTTCCTCTCCGTCGCTGCCGCTCCCGTTTGGGAACACGCCCCATCAGAGGAGGTCCTCTGAGCCTCTGCCTCCCAGCACACGGAGGCAGGTTAGCGTGTGTTGAGTGAATAGTAACACCGGTGGCTTTGGGGGCCTTCCTGGAGGCGGGGATGGGGGTTCCGTCTCTAGTCTTTTTTTAAAAATATATTTTATTGATTTTTTACAGAGAGGAAGGGAGAGGGATAGAGAGTGAGAAACATCGATCAGCTGCCTCCTGCACACCCCCTGCTGGGGATGTGCCCGCAACCAAGGTACGTGCCCTTGACCGGAATCGAACCTGGGATCCTTGAGTCCGCAGGCCGACGCTCTATCCACTGAGCCAAACCGGTCAGGGCCCATCTCTAGTCTTCACACAGCAGCCCAACAAGGGCAAGGCTGCCATTTGATGATGACACCAGGGGAAGTCACTTCCCAGCGTCACATGGTGACTGGTGGTGGTGGATGCCAGCTACACACACACACACACACACACACACACACACACACACGGTAGACACAGCCATAAACCCATGAGCCTGCAAGAAAGACACTCACAGACACACAGAGACGCACAAATGGGCCTCAGAGAGAAGAACGCCCTCCCACACATGCCATTCACATGCCACGGTCCCTAGCACACGCCTCTGGGGCCCATCCCTCCCTCCCTCCCCACGCTGTGTGTCCATTCCCAGTGGCCCCTGCTGTCCTCCTGCCCTGGGTCCCTGGGAGCGGCCCCTGCTCCTGGCTGTGGTGGGGGGTGAGGAGAGCTGCTGACTCACCCACCAGAGTAGTTCCTTCCCACAGGCGGCCCCTCTCTGCCCCGGAAACCATCCCCCCCCTCCCCCACCCTGCCCAGCGGGGCGACCTCTCACCAAAAGGCACCTGGAGGAAAGAGGAACGCTTGTTGCCCTTGTTGTGGGCGGCCTGTGGCCACAGCTGGGCAGGAGGCCCTGGGCCCCCAGAAGGTGTGTTCCGCAGGGCAGGGCACAGACCTTAGGGACTCTCACGAGGAATGAGTTCCGGCCATGGCCACCCCCACCTGCTCCCCAAGCACAGAACTGATGCCGGTTGCAAGGGTTCCAGTTCCCTTGGTGCAGAGGGGGAAACTGAGGCCTGGCGGAGGGCAGGGGCTTGTCTGAGGTCCCACGGCCGCCCCTGAGTGCTCAGGGGTCCCTGGCGGGGACAGGAAGCCAGCGAGAGGGAGGCTGCAGGAACCGGAGCTCCCCCCACACACTCTCCCCAGATGCCGGGCCTGATGCTAGCCTGCCAGGCGTCCTCCTGCATTAATATGATAGAACTTCCTGCGCTCCCTCTGCTCGCCTGGCGGCTGCAGGGCATCAGCCGGAGGGACCACATGGCCGGGAGGTCTGATTCCGCACACACAGGCACCCCAAGGGCAGGGCTGTGTGGTGGCTCCTGCAGGCCCTGGTGTGGCTGGGGTTGGGGCAGCCATCCTGCAGGAAGCTGGGGGTGCCAGCTGGGCACGGCGATAGGGAGCACGGTTATCGGGGGACATGGACCAGAGGGGAAGCCTGCAGCCCCGAAGCCAGGGGTGTCGCTCCTGGCCTGGGATGGACACACTGCACAGGCTCCCTCCTTGTTACAGAGGCTCTGGGATGGGCCCAGCTGGGCCACCGGGCCAAGAAGCTGCTGTCGCCCATTGTACAGATGGGGAAACTGAGGTACACCGGCTCCCATCCTTGCCCCAGACCATCACAAAGCACGGAGGTGGTCACATTGGGACAGAAACTCAAGACAAATGGAGTAAGACCCCGAGTTAGTAATCTCTGTCCTGAAACTGCCCCCTGAAAGATGAGGGGTGTCTGAGAGGGTCTCCCAGGTCCTGTCTGGCCCTGTGGGCGGGAGGCAGCTCAGTGGGAGCAGGACAGGTGGCTGCTGAGCTGCTGGGACACAGGAGGGGGAGCACCTGGCCCCGGTGGCGGCAGCTGGGTTGAGTTTGTGGAGGGGCGGAGCGATCAGTGTGACAGCAAGTTGGAGCCTTGGGCAGCTGTCTGTGGCCAAAATGTTGTCCCTGGAGGTCAAGGTCGCCAGAGCTCGGCCTGGGGCCCGGCAGCGCTAGGGTGAGAAGCTGGAAGGAGGGCAGGAGGCATCTCATCTCCACTTCCCGGGGCTCCGGGAGGGAGCGGGAGCCCAGCCTGAGGACCGGCTCCGGGGATGGCGTTTTTTCTCGGCTCCTTCTGGAGGGAGCGAATGAGTTGTGTCCAGGGAACAGAGATCTCAGAAGTGCCTGGAAAACACTGCATCGGGGAGGAATTTCCTGGTCATTTCTCAATCCTGGGCAGTGTCCTAACCCCGGAGCCCAGAATAGATCCCAGGGGCCACCCCAGTCAGCCTTGCGCACTGGCCGGCTGTGCCCCTCAGGGCCCGTCCTGGTCCCGGTGAGTCCAAACTGCATGTGTCACGACTCAGGGATCCCCGCCCAGGTCCCTGGGAGGTGCTGGGGAAGGGAGGAGGGCAGCAACCTGGGGCAGCAGTGGCAGGTGGCTCGGTGATGGGACCAGGAGAGGACCCGGGGAGGGGGGCAGGGCGGGAGATGGATGTGCTGGGCAGATGGGACAGAGGGAGCAAGCCAGGGCGGGAGGGAGGGAGCCCAGGGGGCCTCTGGAGAAAGCAGGGGGAGGGAAGGCGGGGCAGCGAGAGGAAATGAAAAAGCTGGGGCGAGCAGGCACCACGAGGAGGGAGGGAGGAGGGAGGGCAGTAGGGAGAAGCTGACACACGGAGACCTCACAGACAGCGATCCCAGGACAGAGGGACAGAGAGAGCCGGCAGAGGTGCGGTGAGGAGGGGCGGCGAGAGCAGAAATGCAGAGAAGGGGGTAGAGAGCAGTGTGGGGTAGAGAGAGACGGAGGGAGAGGCAGAGCGTGTGGGCAAGGGAGGGGACAGAGACAGACAGTAAGACACAGGGGGACAGAGAGACAGAGGAAAAGAGGAGAGGAAAAGAGGAAACAGAGATAGAGAAGGAAAGAGACAGGAGAGGGGGGGAGAGAGAGAGACAGAGAGAGACAGAGAGATAGAGAGAGACTGAGAAGACAGAGCAAAGACAGCCGGACCCACAAGGAAGACTGGGGGTGCCTGGGAGACCCCGCTGCGGGGACGCCATGGGGAGGCAGGAGGAGGGTTGCTGAGTGGCTGCTCCGGCTCCGCCCGCTGCCTCCCTCCCTC